CAACTTACTGTTTTCAGGCCTGGTAGGCCTGCCTTTCACCTCATTTTCCTTTTTAAACTCTTTACTGACCTCAAGCGCCATTAACGCACTCTGTGAGGTGAGTTTAGAGTGGTAAAGATGAACTGGGAGTTTAAGGAGACTGATTATGCTGGGGGATCTGTGGGAAGAGCTGGACTCATGGAAGTTCATGAGAATACCTAGTGGAACTCTATGGTCCTAACTTCCATTTCACAAAAACTATGGTTCTAACTTCCTGTCGCCCTGCCTTAAGTACCCACCATCATAGCACACACAATGCATGTGGCTTGCAGGGTTGCAGCCCTTTGTCCTTTTCTCTTTTTCCTTTCCCTGAATAAATCCTCTTTGGTTAAGGCGTACCTAGTGGATATTATTTTACTGTTAACAGAACAGAGGTTTTTTCCTGCTGAAATTAATCAGTATGTCCCACTGTTAGACTGCTGTCTCATTGAGAGGAATGCCACTCACCTCAGACTATATCTGGACTCTCAGAAAGTCGATTATTTTCCTAGAACTGCTTTTAGTCTTCAGCCTGGTCTGTGTTGGCGTAGACTTAAACCCTAGTGAATCACAAAGTGAAGGAATTCACAAGGCTCAGAAAACTAGGAAAACAAAGTTTTACTGAAGGTTGGGCAGAGAGAGAATGTCCATGGCAGTGTCTGAATAAGAAGATTGTCTCTAGGTGAGGGAATGTAGGGTTTTTTTATTTTTTATGCCTGATACAGGGGACTGGTTGTCTTGCAGTTGTATACAAGTGCAACAGGCCCTCCTGAGAACTATTGTCAAGGTTGGCTTCCTCCGAAAATTGTCCTGGTGTTTGTCAGACCACGGGTTTAGTTTTAGCGGTGGACTCAGAGCTGAAGCGGTTAATCTTTAAACCTATTCTTGTTGTTCCTAGACTCATTCTTATTAACTCTTTCTGACTCATTAGGTAATCTTTAGGCTTTTTCTTGTTAGCTCTCAGACTCCTTTCCATTAACTCTTTTTCTGACTCATCATGGTCCTCTGTGATCAGATCGTTCTAGAGTGAGGCTGGCTGGCGTCTGACCTGTAGTATGCTCGAGCTGTTGTAAATTGTCTTGGGCCCTTTGTTCTAGAGAAAAGTCTCTGAAAATTGGGATCTCAGCTGCCTAAATATTTTAAGACCACTTTTCCTCCACCAGGAACACTGGCTGTGTGACATTGTTAATGGCTTCAGGCAATTTTCATGTGCATATTTAACCTAAATGGACAAAGCTGACTACAAGTAATTCAGAAAATCAGTGGCCACTCCTGGGAACATCTGAGAATCCCCAGCATCATTTTCTGAAAACCTAATTGGACTTTTAGCACTAAAAGTGGTAAAACCGAATGGAATGCCCATTTTGAATGGTATTTTGAGGCTTCCAAAGGAGACCAAGAATCTGAAACTACCTCTCGGTAAAATAAAGTGTGAAACTAACAGAGGGTACCCAAATTTTTTTTTTTTTTAGATTTAATTGGGGAACTGGGGGAGGGGAACAGACAAATTGCTGTCTTTTGTTCTTCAGTCTAGTTGTGGAGGACGTTGCTTCACTGGCACATGTTGGTATTGTGATCATTGCACTCTTCCCGAGCGAGGCGGATTGCTCACCGTCCATTGGGCGGCAGCTCACAGTGGCTCACGGCAGCTCACGAAAGCTCAGGCCAGCTACTGGCCAGCCCCACTGCTGCCTACTCAGTCGCCGGTGACTCAAGGCAGCCCAGCTTCAGGTTGAGCTGTTGTTCACCATCTTAGCAGTAGAGGGTGCAGTGTCACTGGTCCTCATGTGGGATCCAAACCGGGGCGCTGCTGCTCAGAGCTGGTGTTCCCAAGCCAACTCCTAACCAACACGCCACTCGCCCAGTCCTCTTTTCATTTTTTTGATGGTTCCTTTGCTATGCAAAAACTTTTTAGTTTGATGTAGTCTCATTTGTTTGTTTTTCTTTTATTGCCCTTGCCCAAGGAGATATATCAGAAAAAAAAATATCACTAAGGGTAACGTCAGAGAATTTACTGCCTATATTTTCTTCTACAAGTTTTATGGTTTTGGGCCTTCCTTTTAAGTCTTTGATCAATTTTGAGTTTATTCTTGTATACGGTGTAAGAAGGTCGGCTACTTTCATGTATCTTTTTGCATGGATCTGTCTAGTTTTTCCAACACCATTTATTGAAGAGATTGTCATTTCCCCAATTGTATATTCTTACATCCTATAGGGTCATAGATTAAATGACCATATAGGCGTGGGTTTATTTCTTGGCTGTCTATTCTGTTCCATTCTTCTATGTGTCTGTTTCAATGCCAGTACCATGTTGTTTTGATGACTATAGCCTTTTAGTATGGTTTGCTATCAAGTAGCATGGAACCACCAATTTTATTCTTCTTTCTCAAAATTGCTGTGGTTATGCAGGGTCTTTTGTGGTTCCATATAAATGTTAATATTATTTGTTCCATTTCTGTGAAAAATGCCTTTGGTATGTGATAGGGATTGCATGGAATGTCTAGATTGCTTTGGGTAGTATGGAATTTTTAAGGTGGTATTTCTTCCTATTCATAAGTATGGTATACACTTCCATTTATTTGTATCTACTTTCATTTTTTTCTTCAGTGTCTGATAGTTTTCCAAGTACAGATCTTTTAACTGTGATTAAATTTATTCCTAAGTATCTTATCTTTTCTTAAAAAAATGTAATTGTAAAGAGGATTGTTACCTTAATGACTCTTCTGACAGTTCATTGTTCATGTAATAAAATGCAACCAATTTCTAAATATTAACTTTGTATCCTGCTAATTTACTGAATTCACTTATTAGCTCTCATAGTTTTTTTGGTGGAATCATTCAGGTTCTCTCTATATAGTGTCATGTCCTCTACAAATGGTGACAGTTTTATTTCCTCATCTCCCATTTGGATGCCTTTTATTTCATTTTCTTGTCTGATTGCTGTGGCAAAGAGTTAGAATACTATGTTGAATAAAAGTGGTGAGACACAGCATCTTTCTTTTATTCCTGATCTTGAGGTGAATGATTTTAGCCTTTCCCTGTTGAGAATGATGTTAGCCCTAAGTTTGTCATACAACGTTTTTATTATGTTGTGTTATGTTCCCTCTATTCCAACTTTACTGAGAGTTTTTATCATAAATCAATGCTGGATTTTGTAAAAATCTTCTTCTGCATCTATTGATATGATTTTTGTCTTTCATTTTGTTTATGTGGTGCATTATGTTATTTTATTTGTGGGTATTGAACCAAATTTGCATCCCAGGAATAAATCACACTTGGTCATGGAGTATGGTCTTTTTCATGTATTGCCAAATCTGTCTTACTAATATTTTGTTGAAGGTTTTCTGCATCAAGGTTCATCATGAATATTGGTCTATACTTTTCTTTTTGTGTAATATCTGTCTGCTTTGAAATTATTAGGGTGATGGTACCCTAATAAAAATGAACTTGTGAGCTTTTCTTTTTCCTGCATTTTTTTGAATTGGCAGTTGAGCAGAATAGGCATTAATTCTTATTTGAATATTTGGTAAAATTCACCTGTGAAGCCATCTGGTGCAGGACTTTTTTTGTTGGGAGTTTTTTGATTACTGGTTTGATTTCATTTCATTACTAGTAATTGGTTAGTTCAGATAGTCTGTCTCTTTTTTTTTTTAATTGGGGAATTTGGGAAGGGGAACAGTGTTGGGGAATTGGGGAGGGGGACCAGCCAAGTTGTTACTCTTCAATCTTGGAGGGTGCCAGTCGCCATCTGGCTGCCCATCAGCAGCTCGTGGCCTGTAAGGTCGAGGTGCTCTGTTCAATCTTAGTTGCGGGTGGGCATAGCCACCATCCCATGTGGGAGTCGAACCAGCAGCCTTGTTGTTAAGAGCGCATGCTCTACCCACTGAGCCATCCAGGCGGCAGCTCAACTCAAGGTGCAGAGTTCAGTCTTAGTTGCAGGAGGGTGAAGCCCCCCATCGAACAGGCAGTCTTGTTGTTGGGGCACGTGCTCTCACCAGCTGAGCCATCCTGCCACCTGTTGGCAGATCAGTGGCAGCTCAACTTTGGCACAGAGTCACTGGTCCATGTGGGAATCGAACCGGCGGCCATGTTACTCAGAGTGTATGCTCTTAAGCTAACTCTGAATCAACTGAGCCACTCGGCCGGCCCAAAAATATTAATTTCATTGTCGGCCTTACACCACTGAATGTAAAGTCCATGAGGGCAAGGACTTTGTTAGACTCACTGCTGATTGCACTATGTCTACAATAGTATCTGGCATATAGAAGACATTCACTAAAATTTGACATATGAATATGTGAATGACAAATAACTAATCAACTAATTTCAAGTCTGAAAAGTGCTTTGAAGTTGAAGTACAGTGTGCTACAGGAGTGTCTAACAGGGTCGCTGGGCTGAGCCAGAAGTGGGGGTACGGCTTCTCTGAGGAAGCTCAATTCGACAGGGTGATTTGACATCAATCAGCTTGGCAAAAAGCTGGAAAAGTATTCGAGACAGGGGACAGTACAATATCTCCAAATGCCCTAAGACAGGAGACAGCACATATGTTGGAGGGAATGAGAGTGGTTTATGTGTGGGTGGAATGGGTGAGGGAGGAGATAGTGGTGTTGAAAAAGAACCAGTCCCACTTGTGGTGCTGTCAGGAAGGACACAGACCACTTGCAGAGCCTAGGGTGCCACTGACAAAGACAGGACACTGCTTCTTTGAAGCTTAGTGGGCACAGGAAAAAAGAAGGGGAAGGGCTGAGAAATAACCTGGAGTCTCTCAGAAGGTCGCTAGGGGGAAACATTGAAGAGGGCAGGGGATGGGTCAGCTGCTGTAGGGATGAAGAGCAACGCTAGGAACAGCAGTGGCTTACACGGTGGAGGGTAGGGTGTCCCCAGGGTGACTGGAAGGCCCGGCTGCACCTTGTGGAAATTCCTGGTTGAGTCCTGGAGAGGAATCCAAAGGAAAAATGGCTGACTGGACCTAGAGTCCGCACCGAGAAGAAAGGGTACTGTGGGGGTGTTGGAGGAGTTGGGATGTAGGAGCTACCAGGACTGGATCCAGTCGAGAAGCGGACAGATATGTTCCCGGGATCAGGATAGAGATCCTCGAGGAAAGAGAGATTCTGATAGGATCGAGTGCATAGACTGGTCAGGGTTTCTGGGGGTGATCTCTGGAACGAGAAAGTCTAGGGCCGACCAATGGGAGTCAGGAAAGGGATTGTGAAGGGGATGTGCTTTCCCCCTGCTGTCCGGTCCTAGCCTATCTCCTGAAACCTGGGGTCCGGGGCCCCGTTTCAAGGGAGTGGGGTGAGTTTCTGTGCATGAGGGTCCAGGACAAGGATGGGAGTGCAGTCTCTCAGGTCCGCCAGTTCATGAGAATCCTGTGCCTGACCCCAGGAACCTTCACACAGCAAGCTGCACGCACCCTGAGCGATAAGGCCCCACCCCTCCCTGAGGTGGGCGGAGACAGCAGCTGCATCTTTCATTGTGATGCCTTTCTCAGAGACCAATCATATTAGATAATTTAGGCCACGCCCACACCGCTGCTGCCTAGCACCTGGGGTCCCACCTTTTCTGGCTCAGCCTCGCAGTTGCACGGTGGTCGCTGGAAGTACTCCGCAGTGGGTCGGGATCGGGATCTCACTGGAATGGTCCCGCCTCCCCTGCTCCCGCGACCCTGGATGTCTGTCGGAAGAAACACTACCGAAGAAATTGGCCTGGGCAAGAAAAAGTTAGAATGTGCCAGGTCGCAGCTCCCTTGGACCCGTTGGCTCCCCAACAAAATCTTCTCAACAGTACCTCCCACCCCAAAGCCCACGCCCCACCCCGACAGCCCAGTCCCCACCCTGGCTCTTCAGTCCGGGGTGACTTTGGGCTGGTAACCCCAGGGGCTCCCGGCCCAGCCCTAGCTTCCTTGCCACCCAAGGGTGACTTCTTGGGCTCCCTGGCCTCCGTAGGCTCCCTGGACTCCCGGTTGCTAAGGAACTCGGTCTGGGGGCCCTGCACTCCCTTCCCTCATGGCGGAGTGGCAACTCGGGCATCCATAGGGAAGAGTAGAATATGTAGTTACGTCACAATCACCCTTGGAACCGTCTTTACAGCTGTGAAGCGGGTGTTCAAGGACCTAGTCCCCTAGTGTTTTTCACTCCCTTTCCATTTTCTGTGGTCACAGCACAGATTTGCAGCTTGAAGGGGACTCCGGATTATGGGACCTAGGTCAGAGAGGTTTCAGGCTTACTATAGACTGTACCCATCCTTTAGACGCTGACAGCGTAAAAAGCCTCCCTTTCACCTGTGATCTGAAAACGTTGACCACATCTCTGGGTGGCAATGGGGAGAGTGTGTTTAGTTTGGTTTCCCCCCATTTCTACTTCCCAAAGAAAGTTTCTAATTTTTAATTTGAGTTCTCTACTTCACAGTCTATGTGCTATGTGCTATGATCCTGAGACCAAGCTGGCCCTCAGTCAGCGCTCTTTGGTGTGAGATCTACTTATCCTCTGTGGAGTAGATCCCATGAAACTGCGGTTCACAACTGGGAATCTTCCCTAAGTCATCATCTAAACATAGGGAGCTCTGAGTGCCACAGGATAAAAATGGGACTGAAGCATCGGTTTTGCTGGAGTCTCTTGATAGAGAAAAACCCTTTTATATCAGTATTCCTAAAGATGACGTTTACATTGATTTGTAATATTTTAATAGACTCCTCCCTGAAATGGTGCTTCAGTTGTCTTTTCTTTCTTACCATCACAAATTCAGTAGGGGTGTGTGTTCGGCGGCCTTCTGCCATTGGGCTACATTGATGTCAGAGTTTGAGACGTACCGGTGTGCATCTCGAACAGATATATAAGAAAGGAACCATGTGTCTGATCACTTAAATGTTTCCTTTTCCACCTCTTCCTCTGATTTTGCCGCCCTGGATGCCACTGATTTATGGCATAACCCATGAATTTAAATTCCATTATTGCTTTTTAAAAAAAACTATGTTATCTGTCCATTTCTGCAGTCATGCAGTGAGTATTACAACACCTTGTAGGCTTGTTGTGGCATTAAATCAAATGGCGAATATGAGTATTTTATAAACTGTCATGTAGGGTGTGAATACAGGGTGTGAATATACTTCTTGTGAGTCTCACTGCTTTTACTTTCTGCAGCTGAGAGAATTTCTAAAGAAGAACAAGCTTGGTGTTTATTCAGAAGCTAAGTAGGAAAGGAAGAATAAACATGGCAGTAACCCTGAGACAACCACTTCTGATGGTTGTCACTTGCCTGAGGAGGTGAGTCTAGGCTGGCCAAGCTACTGGGGATAGGAGTCCTCAGAGGACTAGAGGGTAGTGGTTAGATTGTGGAAGAATCTAACCAGGTACTGGTTAAGAATTCTGGGTTTAAATCCTGTCTCTCCCTCTGCTAGAGATATTGTTTGGGGGAAATTGTTTAAACTCTTTGAGTCTGTGTTTCCACATCAGTAAAACCCAGGCAAATACTGTCTTACTCTTATGAGGTTTAAATGAGATTGTTGTTTTTATAGTCATCCCTTAACACAGAGCCTGGTGCGGAGTACACGTTCAGTAAAGGGTAGTCGCTGTTGGACTTACTGCTCTGGTGGTATTCCGTATCCCCAGCCTCAAGGGGAAGCCACTTGCCATCAGGCTCTCCCTCTACGAAGCACCAAAGCGGCCCCCGGGTATGGTGAGGAGAGAGCCCCAGGCACTGGATTAGGAGTTTCGAGTCCACCTCTGCCACCAGCTTGCTGAGTGATCTCAGGAAAAGCACTTCCTTCCCTGGGCCTCAGTTTCCTTATCTGTAAGATCAGATATTGTTTTTCAAACTTATATTTTAACAGTAATCTCCTGTTCTCTGTTCAAGCAGACCTTTCCTTGGAAGTCTGGTTTTTAAATGGAGATGATGAGGGTCTGGAGCCCTGCCAGGTTTGTCTCTAGCACCCTGGGCCAAGGGGAGGGTCTAATGGGCATATTCACTGGTCAGGCAAATCCACTCTTTGTGAGTGCATCATTCAGGGGAGTTTTCCATCTGTTCCTTGGCATTGATTTCTGCCTCTGGCAAGGCAGCAAGTGGCTGTTTGGAAAGATGGCACAGGCTGTTGGTGTTGACCTTCTCTCTCCTCCAGCATTCTATTTCCCAGAACCCATTTCTTCTTGCTTCCCTGCCCCTATTGCCTCTCTCCAAGCCACTTCTCTCTCTTTCTCCCTGCCCTTGTTTTTCCCTTTCCGCCTTCTGTAGATTCAGGACATTCTGAAGGTGCTGGTGTCGGACCTTAACAGCTCCAATGGGGTCGTGCTGCCCCCATTGGATGAGTGGAAGGTGAGGCACGCCGAGACCCCTCTCTGGCTTGCTCTCTGTCAGCTCAGCAGGCCCCCAAGGCTTCCCTGGTTTCGGGGATATTTTGCTTCTGGCTTATTTTGTGTTGCTGTCATTAACCCTCCCCGGCCTGTTCGCGTGTGCTTTCTCACCTGCTTGGTTGATTGAGTTTTGTTTTTCTCCCTCAACACCTTTCATCTTGGAAAAGGTGAGATGTACCTTGAAGTTTAAAAGTAATTTGGGAATAGCTTCCAGAGCAGGTGTGTGGGATTTGGGCTTTTTGAGCCTCAAGTTTGAATCTCAAAGTAGGAGAGATTAAATAAAACTAAACCTACAGATCTTGTCCTGTGGGCATCTGTCCTGAAAGACCAATAAACCACAGAGCAGTTTGTGATTTTTCCAGATGAGTAATTCATTTTGGTTTGTTTGTTGGCACCCTAGGGTTAAGAGAAAGGGAGTTTGCTTTATAGTTAAAAGGATTGAGATTATTTTTCAGAGGAACTAATTGTAAGAATGTGAGGTTAACCAAACAGTGGGGGACCAGGACATCCTACCCCTAGTCTGTTTTACAAATCAACTTGACACTTAACCACATTGAGCAGGCCCTTGATAGCAGAGGTACTCAGCTAGATGCAGGAGACATCAGGGAAGCCGGAGAGAATGCCCACTGAGGGAGGAAAGAGGCAAGCTAGGATCTGGTAACATTCCTAATTCCCCACGAGGGAGAGGTTGGTTTTAAGTGGACTTGAGGCTGGAGAGGGTGGCATTTGAGGCCGGTTTGAAGATTAGAGGTAGGTAACATTTATCCCTCTGGAGAGGGGGGGAAATGGGAGTCCCAGGCCAAGGGCGTGGTGCAGGTAACGGCAGGATTATGAGCTCACAGAGCATTTGCCAGAAACGACGGGAACTTGGTGTTTATCGGGTCAGGAGGTGACCCTTTCCGGATGTAATGTTGGTATTGCCTCTTTAATTAACTTCCTTGAGGGACAACTACCAGGCCAGAGGAGTAGGGCAGAAGTGGCACCAGATCCTGTGGGAGATGGGCATGGGGAGAGGGGCTGGGACAGCCCTGCTGGCTGGTGTCAGTCTTTCAATCATCAGGACAGCTCACGCCCAGCCGGCCAGGTCCCCGTAGGTGCCATGACTCACCTTGTCAGCTCAGAGGAGACACAGAGAAGCACAGGGAGGGCAGCACAGGCCCAGAGGAGTCCTGAAGCTGAGTATTGACACTAATGTCCTGTGGCCACATCCCTCGTTCTCCTGGAAGTGAAGACCAGGATCCCATAGCCCCTTCTTGTTTTTAAGCCCTCTTTATCAGGAACTATTTCCCACTTAAGTTTTCTACTCCAGTAATGTAGGCCTGTGATTATTTAGCCTGGGGAGAAATGATAGCATCTCCAGAAATCGGGACTCCAACTTTTTTTTTTTTGGTACATACCCAGAAGAGAGATTTTTGGGTTATGTGGTAACTCTATTCTTAATCTTTTCAGGTCCATCTCCATACTATTTTCCACATTGGCTGTACCAATTTACATTCTCAAAAGCAGTGTAGGAGGGTTCCTTTTTTTTTAAAGATATTTATTGGGGAATTGGGGGATGGCAACAGTGCTGGGGAGTTGGGGAAGGGGAACAGACAATTTGCTGTCCTTTTGTTCTTCAGTCTAGTTGTAGAGGATGTTGCTTCACTGGAGCAAGTTGGCACTATCATTGCACTGTTCCCGGGCGAGGCAGATCAGTCGCCGGCTTCTGGACGGCCACTCACGGAGGCTGCTGGCTGCTCACGCTGGCTGCTGGCTACACACTGTAGCTCATGGAAATGCACTGCCACAGGGGCTGCAGCCTACGCCATTGCCAGCGATTCATGGCAACCGAGTTCCAGGTTGAGCTGTTGTTCAGCATCTTAGCTGTAGAGGACAGCGTCACTGACCCTCATATGTGGGATCCGAACTGGGGCCCTTTGGTGTCCCAAGCCAGTTCTTAACCAACGTGCCACTCGGCCAGCCCAAGGGTTCCTTTTACTGCACAGCCACTCCTACAATTTTTATTATTTGTTTTGTTGATAATAGCCATTCTAAAAGGTGTGAAGTGGTATCCCATTGTGGTTTTTATATGCATTTCCCTAATAGCTAGTGAAGTTGAGCATTTTTTTCATATATTTCTTGGCCATTTGGATGTCTTCTTGG